TGTTTCCCTTTGTGATATATAACTGTTAGTTTTATTTCAGGACAAGCTAGTTGCGTGGTGCTCACTACAAGTCTTGGTTGTCTTGTGTTACTAGGCACTGCTAACATCTTCATAACAATTCCAGTTTCATAGTCTCTTTGCTAAGCTAGGCACAAAAGACACGAAGAAATCATTGCAATGAAGCCTTTTCAACTTGCATTGACACCCTGTTCCCTTTGTTCCATTCTTCCATTCCCCGCTGCACCATCCTAACCACTGCACCTCTACACCTAGACAACTTGCACAGTAAGTACATCGTCAGACACATGCATGGCATGCAGAATCTCGCAAACTGAAAATTTATGACATGTTCACAAGACAGGTCCTAAATCTTCCTGAATGTAAACAGATCTGGACAAACTTCTCGCTGTGTTGCAAGAAGATAGTTTGGAGTAGCCAAGGACTGTCAAGTTTACATTGTGTTTTGCTCTTGTACGGTGTGATAGGCAGAATGTGCTGATAGGAGAGAAAAGTATGGTACTGGTACATGTAGATGTCTGATGCAGAATGAGCAGAGAGAGAGAGAGTACATGCAAAAGGAATCCAACATTGGGATGAGATGTTCAACCTTCTTTTTTTGATTTTAATCAGGTCTGCACTGACTATCATGAGTCAGATGCTCTTGGAGACTAGACACAAGCAAGCCATGAGCAAACTGGAGCAAGAGATGAAGAGAGAATTGGCCGAGCAAAAAGAGGAACTGAATCAACAACTAGAGAGAGCCATGATTGAAGAACTGGAGGTAAGTGGTATAAATTCAGTCGCAGAATAGGTGGCTGTAAAACAGCAACATCTGCCCCAAAACTAAAGGATAATGAAAACAATTTAACCTGTTAACGTGTCACAATCCTTATGAAGTTTGCAGCGGTCTGGTTTTGTAATTGGCTGAGGAGTGTTAAGGATCCATTGCATTGTGTTTATCTGTTTATAGGAGCAAGAGAAGAATTTCTTGGGTCAGTTGGCTGTAGCCAGCGAGATGAGCAGAGATGATTTGAAGGACTTGGTGAACACAGCTGTTGCAGGTCGGTGTGAGTTATATGCGGTTTAATAGTTAATGAGGTCCGAAATTTGCAGCCAAAAGAAATGGTATCCGTGTAAGAACCTAGTGTTTGAAGATTTCTTGCAAAAGAAAATTTTATTAACATTTGGGATTTTTAACATCGGAAAGCGTGGACATAGTTTTGTTGAGAGGGAATTACTGATTATATACCACATGCACATTCAGTCAAATGTGGGCCAGAGATCCGTTTTTAAAATGCTGCAACTTTAAGACTTGCATAGAGAAGTGGGTTGATGACCCAAATCCCTTGCCTTTGTAGCTTGCTCCTTGGTAAGTTAAAGCATGGAGCCTGTAGAAGGGGAAGTGTGTATAGGATGGAGTGAGCAATTTTCAGGACATTTTTTTCCCATGTTTTTTTGCCCAACTTAGAGGGAGGCGGGGACTCGTCTGACGTGAAGAAATTATCCAAGGACCTGACGCAGCGTATCAAGACAGCCAGAGCTCAGCCCGATGAGGAAGAAGAGGAAGACGAGACAGAGGAGAAACCAAGGAGGAAAGGCAAGAAGGCAAAGGCAAAGAAGAAATGAGACAAGGATAGAATCGTGGAGAACGGTGGTAATGAGGGATGCAGAAGCGATATGGATTCAGGACGTCAGTTGGTAGAGTGATAAACATTTTAAATGTGGTCTAAGACAGGTTGAATAAGAGAAATCATTCCAGTGTGCAAAGGACTATTTCAGCATTTAGTCAATATTTCATTGATATCTGGTAAAGAACCTTTCTGTATGTGGCAGACATACATGAAGTCGTTCTTCAGCAGTGGGAAAGCCTGATGAACATATTGTTTCACAAAATGAGGGCCTGACATCTCAGCAGTCTTTCTTAAAGGCAATATTTTTTGGTGGAGCCCCAGCATATGGAGTACGTCCCACAAACCTCCCACAGCTCAGACCAAATGTTCTGGAAAGTAGAAACCTGTACCCCAACTTATGGACAATACAGAAAATGAGTAATGTATGAAACATTAAGAAATGGCAGATAAAACTATGGTGTAACTTGTAAATTCTAGCTGTTTAATATTTCGACCACACACAAAAAGACACCTGGCATTCTTTAAGTATATATATAACTACACATAGTACTAACTCTATGGAGCAACGTGCTTCATAGCAATGTACAGCAATATTGACAACATTGCTAGCAGACTTTCAAGTCATTTGGAATTTACAATACTTTTTTTACTCTCAAAAATGTACAGTTCCAACCATTTTGGAAAACCAAATTTCACTTATTAAAAGCCACCCAGAAAGAAAAAATTGCTTACAAAATTATACAAAGTTATGTAAGTAGAAAATATTGAACCAAAAAATGAGATATTACAGTTTCTTGAATGCATCAGTTTTCAAATGGACGTGAGCAAGTGCACTTCTGTCAGTCCCTCAATATGGCATGTTTGGCAGCATCTTCTGTTGATTATACATTGATATTTAAAAGGTCAGAGTATCATAAATGTGGGTCATCCTTAATGCACTTGATGTGATTTGCCCTTTTTATTTCATTTTAAAATATTTTTCTTGGTAATTCAGCCAAGTTGGGACCTCTTGTATTGAAAAGTTTTAATTGGAATTTTGATTTCTTTCTAAAAATGATTGATAACTGCTGAAACAGCAGTTGTCTTATTCAAAATACCAAAATATGAATATTCAGTACATCTACTTGTATCTGTGGTTTTGTTCGTTTAGTTAGTGGAGGTTGAAGTTTAAAGTGGCCTATCAACATAGACAAGAATTTTTCCAAAAGTGCACTTTTGTAAAGTACAGTTAAACACAGATTATAAGAGCATTGTTAATACAACATTTTAACAAGATTTGCCATGTTAGTGCTAAGAGGTCCTTCATGAGAAATTGCATAAAAAGGTCTTTATTGAAAAAATCCTATTTTTAAATATGAATTCGGGCAAAACTTTCGTTAGAATTTAAATATATTGGCCCCAGGAAACTAGTTTAATAAATAAAAGTAAAACAAATGTAGCCTGTTTCAATACATTTCTTTCATGTTCAGAGTAAGGCCCTAAGAATACTTTGAAAAATGATATTTTTGCTGGAATTGTAGGTCCCCTAATCTTTGTGTTCTTTGTTCTCCCGACACCGGGTCTCGCTTATCTCTTCTTATACTACGAGTAAATTCCCAGTGACCTTGTTATAAAGGTACATGTCTTTGACTAGTTTGTTGATGTGAAGCTCGTTAGAAATGAATTCCTATTTGAATATTACCAGTGGAGCACAGTTATAACAAGGTCCTTGGGACATCATAAATTTCCTCCCTGTAATAGTTACCTTGTATCATTAGCAATAGAAAAACAGACACTTGGGACCTAGAATTGTCCTTGTTACAAATCTGACCTTGTATTCACAGTGTTCTTCTTAATCTGTGTTCGACTATATGGGAGGATGAATACATGGAAGTTACACCATAAATAATTGAAAACTGGAGTAATGTGAAATGCAGACAAATGGAAGAGCACTTTCTCAACAATATCCTCCATAAATGTGCAATTTACAGAGAGAAACACACATTGAAGGAGTAATGAAGAACATATGCAAAGACATAGTCCCACTTTGCTTTCAAAGAAGTCCAGATTTCAAGAGTACTAAAAATGCTCATGGTGTGTCTATACAGCTTCACAAAATACATATCAAGTGTCTACGAATTAAAAAAGCGTCTGAAAGTTTCAATGGAATGTGTAATTTGAAATAAAATGGTCCAGTAACCATGAAGATAGAATAGTTCTGAAGTTACTAGTCAAATGCATTGGCAAGAAGTATATCTAACTCAGACTGAAAGAAAAACAGAAGAGAATTAAATTGGTGGAAAAGACTTAAGCAAAAGCAGTATGACTTCAAAATCTGCTCGAATGGAAACTTCAACTGAAAGGTTTGTCAGATTTTGAAATGTTTAACCCTGAAAAGCAGTACTTTTCTTTGGCAAGATAATGAAAAACAAAGGCAGACTCTGCCACGATCATACATGTATACTGTAAATGCTATTCTGTCAATCTGAAAATAAGTTTTGTTTTGGCAAAGTAGCAGAAAATCACGCATTGATGGTGAAGTAGTTTTGGAATACTCTTCATGTTAAATTTAAATTTACATCCTGAATGACATTTTCATATGGTATACTTTCTACTATGCAACTTTTAAGACTACGGTAAAGTTTGCCCACTGCCTCCATTGTCTAATGTGGAAGATCGCATCAGACAATGGAGGCATCTGAATACACAGACACGGTACAAGTACCACAATATTCAACATGAAACACAATGACCAACGTACACAGCCTCTTGATGGCTGATACAAAATGACATTTAGTGAAGGCGCTTCCTGGCCTATTGAGACTCAATCTCGAAATTTACCCAACAGTGAACTACAAGTGAGTTCATTTCACATTCTGTTTGCGCCAGAGTTTCAAAATATTAGTAGCCTCTCCAGCTTGGCTGCTTGACCGGAAGCAGTAGCCCAGCGTGTAGTTTTTGTTTTCCCGGGCATCGGATGATATTCGTCAACACCTGGATTCTGCTATGTTCCCGTCCACGGCTTGTTCTTGAGACGCTCACTCAGTTGCTGCAAGATCAAGAAAAGCAATGCTGGCATTCAGAATAAATTCCAAGGACCAATGAGGAACTTTTTAGAATCGTCTGAAGTATTCTACCCTAACTTCCTACACATACTTGCTAGACTTGATCATACCTGAACAAGGATGGGCCATCGATCACCATGTAACAGGTGTGTGGGCTGTGACTACATCAGTCTTGGCCTACATGTGTCTATATGAAAAGTTTGCCTTTACCTTTCTGAACAGCTGCGCCTTTATCCTGTTTGTCTCGTAAGCTGCCTGCCGTCTCCTCGCTTTCTCCTTCTCAACTACTTCTGGCAGCCTACTGTAAAGCCTGAAGAAAAAAAAACCCTTAACGTACAAGGTGTTAATCTTGGGAGAATCAAGCTTCTCCGTACAGTGAATCAGAATAGCATGTTTGGAATGTTGCAGTTAAAAAGCCAAGACTGTTAGGAAATTCCAAAGGATAACAACTCACTTCTCAGTTTGTTCACGCATTTCCCTCTTGGAAATCAGTCTCTTCTTGGGCTTGTGGTGTTGCTCTGGCAACAGAAACAAAAATGCCACAAAATCCAAAAAATATTCAACACCAAAAATAGTTCGAGAAATTTGAGTTGCAAGAAATATGGTGCCCATTAATTGTATGGCCAAATTTTCTTGACGTGCATGCAGACATAAGTGTGCTTTTTTGCTGTTATTGTCAGTAACTCAGATCTGCATATGCATCAAAGACAATGCTCTGAGACACCTTAAGTAGTATACTGTAATCCGCCTTGAGTTGAAGTGCACCCCCAAGCGGCAAAAGAAAGACAGATGGTAGTAAGTTTCCCAAGCGGGTTCTTGCACGCCTTCTGTGTGTACGCACAGACCATACATTAAGAAATAAATTTGTTACGCGTACTCTGCATGCTCCGTGTCAAACGTGCCATTGATCTTCAGTATAAACGCGTGCTTATGCGGTGAGTACCAAAAAAACACCCTCTTTTGTTGCACTCGGAGTGGATTGTATGAAGCTGCAATCATTTGGACTGACCACTGTATGGATGAGCCTGAGGGTTGGGCTTCTTGCTTCGCTGATCCTGGAACAACCTCTCTCTTTCCTCATCAAACCTTCTCTGCATGTCCCGCTCCTCGGCCGCCAGCCGGATCTTCTTCTGTCGTTCCCGGGAACGAGAAATGAAGTCCGATCGACTCCTCTCAAAGGCCTCCTGATAGTGTGGGAACAATGAGGATAGACGAGTAATGATTACAAAGTAACATCCCGAGACCAGTAGAAATAATGGACAACTTAGTATGAGCTCTAAAGCTGCCTTCAAATGAAGCCGGTGGTCTTCAATGGTGGTCTGTAGTGACTTAGGCCACAAAATTAAGCGAAACCTATCCTTCAGAGTAAGACTAGCAATACCTGTAGGGTCAGCTTGGCCAGTGGTTGTGTGCCTTGCCCAGCAAAAGGCTGCCTATCTCGGAGTGGTTTGCGCTGTTCCGTCTGTTGCCATGGCATCTTCTTGCTAAAGGGTTGGAACCAGGCCACAGGGGTGGGCAGCGCCGGTGCAACCTTGGCAGGTCTGAGGAAAAACAGAAGTCACCAATTTCTTCCAGCTGTGTCTTCTTCACATTTCCATTCTGGTATCTGGCATCACGAGCAGGATCTTTTGGACATTTTGTTTACACACCGGGAACATAGAAATGGACGAAAAAGACTGCACAAAGAACTCACTGTGTGTTTTTGCGCACCCTGCTTGCCTCCGAGCTGGACCTTGGCGGCTTGAAGATGTTGTGCTTGCCACCTACCTCTGCACCTCTTTTATGGGTCTTGTCTGCTCTTTGCTTGGTGAGGCTTGGAGTTGTCTGTGTACCAAGGTCCACAGTGAAGGCAGTACCCTGGAAGGTGCCAGAGAAATAAATCAACTCCAAAACACTTGTATCTTGTTCAAGGAAAAGCATCTCTCAATCTTTTGGCTTCCCTCAGAATGCTCGGGAAATTCCTTTTTAAATTCACAGCATTCTTTTGCCTCTCTGCAATCCTAGTTTAAGTTACCTGCCTTCATAGATTAAAAGTGACAAACATCCTTTACCTTATGAAAATTGCAAAGATTTTTAAAAGGTTTGCAGTCTCATTTGAAATAATCTTCAAAATCTCTAGAATCTGACATAAACATGTGCAACATCCTCATATTGCCTTGAAGCTAATGACATACCCTTGTCTTCCGTGGTAGTTGTGAGCTTTTCTTTGCGTGATGGATGCTTGGTCTAGCTGGAGGAATACGAGTGGGAAGCCTTGACTCCCTGTTACTCCTAGACGGCCTCTTAGAGTTGCCATTATCATCATCCCTGCGTCTGTCATCTTGGTGAGCTACAGCTTCTTGGGGTGGCAGCTCCATCCCCGCCACATCGTGCCAGGAGTGCGATCTCTTCACCTGGAGAGGGCGGCAGGTACAGGGAATGCTCGCCTCTGAGAGGGTATCACTCTGCAAGTCACTGCTGCTGCTGTATGCCACCTGGAAGTCATCCTTATGTCCCTGAGGCAAGACTCTTCTCTGATAGTGACGAGCCTCCCTGTCTTCTGTCAGAGTATCCTCAGAGGTTGTTGGGGAGGATTCCACGTCTCGACTTGTCTCCAGAACTGGACTCAAGGCTGAGGTGACAGGTGCAGCAGGTTTCAATGCTCTCTTATCCTTGACAGCTTCGTCTTGTAACGAGGCAGCTGGTGTGCTGGCCATCACTGGTGCCTCTTTCTGTTTTGGTTCTGTCTCTGATGGCACTGCTTTAGACTCCTGCTCTCTCATCCTCCTCCGATGGTGCTCCCGTTGTCGATCTATACGGCGTTGGAGCTTGGCCAGCTTGGAGCCGAGCTTCCGGATGCCATGCTCGCCCAGCAACCGCAGCAGCTCATCTGACTCCAAGCTTAGGTCAGAGATAAAAGAAGCCATGCTCAGGTCTTGGGACCTGTCTTCTTCTTGTTGTGGCTCCCGTCTCTCACTGACGGTTTCTCTTGGTGGTTCACCTTGATAGGCTTTGCTGGGCTGGCTGTCTGTCTTTGTCACCATGGGGATTAAGGTTGGGGGCCTTTCTCTCCTAGTCTGCACTTGAGGAAGCTGGAATTCTTCTTCTGGTGAAATTCTGCAACATCAACACGAATAGCATGCCTTATTAACTCTAGGGAAAACAAAACAAATTTTTCAACAAAACACCGACGTGTTGGACAGACCTCCTCCAAACCTTAGATTGACAAGAGAGGCAAAGATCCACCCTTTAGTAACTTCCTGTCTTCAGTGCTTGAATCAGTCCTTGAAGGTAAAGAAAGGTTGCAGGTCAACAGTGTCTCTAACCTGTAGTGTCTATCCGTTAGAAGTTCATCTTGCTCATCTTCAAGAGGCTGCCGCTGTGGAGTGTATGGTCTCTCCTTGTCCCATTTTCTTCTTTCTCTTGGTGTGCCTGAGGATGATGAACCACCCTCAGCACTGTCAGTTTCATCTGTGAGAAAAAGGTCACAAATAACTAGGTGTGAGAAATCTCAGCAAGTGTGAATGTCAAAGCTACAATAGTTACCCCGAGAAATGAACAAAGAGTCCTTAGAGTATTTTCTCCAGGCAAGTAAATGTATTTGATAAGCAGGCAATTCTGCATGGCAAAAGCAGGGTACAGGCCAAAATGGTTTGGAAAGTACAGCAGATTCCAACTGCATAGTTTATTTACCTTGCATCCAGTTAGTAACGGCGTGTCTGGCAGGGTCTCTGATCAGGCTTGCAACTTGCTGGATTCTGTCAGTGTCCAGACTGGATTGGCTGCCTCCGTTCTCTGCCCGGGATGCCTTGTACTGCTGGTACTCGTCCCAAATGGTGGCAACATCCTGGAAGTGAGGGTCAGATTCATCCTCCTTCAAAAGTTAAAGGCAGAAAGATCTCACCTAGCTTTCAAAGTTGATGTTAAAATCAACTGAGCAGAATGCATTACTTTTCAAGGTACAGTATCACTTTTGTCATGTTTGTAATATCCTTCAACCTCAGGTATTGTCAAACAACATAAAAAGAGTACGGATGAGTTCATGTTTGGTGTGGTGATCAATATATGTATGTACATTATACAAGGAATTAAAATCAATGGGTGTAGAAATGATGTAGCCAAATGTTCTCTTCAATGTTGTACCATACAGCACCTCAGTTCAACTTCACAGTCAACTTGTGAAAATATTTGAAGGGGTACTGAGACGGTCTTCCAAAATTCCACCAAATGACTAAACGAGACTAAAAGGGTAAAATCTGTTGTTGTCTTACCTGAAGAACTTCTTGTAGAACTTGTCTACTGTATGCACCTGACACAGGTGGTGCGTCAGTCATGTGGGTACCATACTGGAATTTGCCTCCACGTCTGAAACCCTCTAGGCCAGCAGTTGGATGACCCCTCCTTCTTGGAGGCTCCTCTTGATCTAGTATTGGCTTGGGGAGGAATGCTGGTGGGTGGTACTCCTTTCTCTTCTCATTTGACTTTTGTTGTGGGTCTGGTCTCCTTGGAATGGTGCGCTCCGTTCGGTGGGTGACGGAAGTAAGGTCTGGACCTGCGGGATGGTCAGCACCTTTCCCTGGTATCTTGCTGGTTGGGGATTTCCGACTAGTGTAACTACTTGCTGTCGGTGATTTAAAACCAAACCTCTGTTTGGGGGATTCTGGGTCTTGGTATGAACTGTATTTGGATACCTCAGGACTACTTGCTTTAACAAGACCTGTCTTTGGTGATACAGCATCCTGGCTTTGGGGATAATCAGGAGGGGTCAGTCTCCCTTCTTGAGAGTATCCTGCGTACGATTTAGCTGGAAGCTTAGACTGGTAGGTTCCTGGACTAGACAGTGGGGCTTCTGATGGACTGACACTCTTCAGATCGCTGGGGTAGTCAATGTAGGACCTCGCCGGCCTGTCTCCGTTTCTCGACTTGTAGGTGGGTATCTTGGATCGGCCCGCGGGGGATTTAGGGCTCCGTACTGGGGAGTGCCTGCTCTGAGAAGGCTGGTCATGGAGTCTAAATTCAGCATCTGCCTCGGGGAGTTCCAAGGAGCGTCTGTGCTGAGGGCTGTCTCTGGTGCCGTAAACACTTGAAGGGAAGGGTGGAGGCTGTGCATCATCAGATCCTTGAAAGAAAAGGAAATCCCCATAAGAAAGTGTACTAAAATAGCACAAAACAGCTAACAAAATACATGCGCTACAACACCCTTTAGATTTCTAAAACCTTTCCACAAAGATTACGGCCATATCATCTTCACCCTCGCCTGTCAAGTACATGTAAGGACATATTTTGCTATTCTCAGGTTGAAAAATTTACCCAACTCACACACATTGATTATCCTTTTAAAAAGTACAAACAAAAAAAAAACAACGAAATGTTTACTTTAAGCTCCTCACCAAAGTGACTGCTCTCCTGTGTGGTTTTACTACTGGGTGTGGAGGTGTTGTCTTGGTTCACAGCATATGTATACAGGACTTCACTGCCTCCAGGTGGTTTGTAAGGTCTCAAGAAACTCCCCGATAATCTCTCACTGGCACTACTCCTGTCATGCTTAGGAGATGCCAAAGCACCTAGACGGCCAAACTCCTGTGGAGACTTCTCGGGGCTCTTAGTTTGATCACTTTCTCTGGATGTTGAGCGGTGATACTCCCGTGCTGTTATGGGTATCCTACTGCTGCCACCACTTTGAGAAGCAAGTGGACTAACAGGTGGGCCTTTCCTGGACTGCATTGCTTTCTCTTTGGCTTCTCTACTCCTCCTCCGGCTAGCTCTTTCCAATGACCCTGTGTACTGGGGCTTTTCCGGGATCTGCCTGGCATGCTTGCGACTGTTGAATTGGGTCAGGTCTATTTCAGGAGAGGAGTGGGAGCGATGCATTGTGACATTCTTTTCAGTAACCTCGTTTTCATCGTCGCTTTCATCGGCTTGCTTTCCTTGAGGGATCTGTTGCCTCTGCTCTTCTTGGTGTAGATAATAAGGCTGCCTGGCCTGACCAGGCAGGAGACCATACGCAACATGCCGTGAGGTCTTTACTTTTGCATCTTCAACCCAGGCCTCTTTAGGAGGTTGTCCTTGGTTTTTCAGGAGGCTTTGGGAATGGCTTTGGTCAGCATACTGTCTGTTTGGTTGCAAATGTTTTTGGTAGTCCACACTGTGATCAAACGTTCTGTCTGAGGCTCTTTGCACTTGAGTTGCCAGCAGCTGCTGTGCATAGCTGAGAGCTCCAAATGGTCTGACCTCTTGAGGCCCGCCAAATTGAGTTAAAGGCATTCCAGCCTCATCTAGACTCTGGCTGTAAGTCTGGGAACTGGGACTAGCTGTAAATGACCTCTGCTCTTGACTCCGCATCTCGGCCAACCTCAGTTCAGCATCTAAAACAGCAGCTTCCTGAAGGATCCTCAAGACATGCTCCTGGGGTGGGTTTCGTTGCAAAATTGCCCTCACTCTGCTGGCTAGTGAGTCCATACTCTCAATGCTTTCACCATACGGGTCTCTTGGAGATGTCCCACTGCTTCCTGCCCTTTGTCCAAGTGATATCTGTGATGTGAAAGAACTTGTTCCCTCTGGCTCAATTCTCACACTGTTGGAATCTCGTGCATCAGCTTGGGGTACTCTGGCAACATCTATTGAGGCTGGAACAGTCACCATGTGAGATGTGTTATCTAAAAGTTGTTGGACCCTTCGTGATAGAGAATCTGAAGACTGGTAACTCATTCCTTCTCTGATACTGTCTGGTTTTCCAGTGGAATAACTTCCAGCACGTTCCAGTCCAGGGGGCAGTGTGGGTAGGGGAGTGGATTCACTTCTGTCATTACTGTTGGATGGAGCCAGAGGAAGAGTCATGCTCTTAGACAGAGATGTGGACTGCTGATCAGCATAGGCATCCCAAGTTGTGAGTGACACACCTGAGGGACTCGCTTTGTAACTCCCTGACGTACGTTGGTTAGCATCCTCAGCATTCGGTATCTGATGCAGAACTCTGTTGATGATTGCTCTGACAGAGCTAGAGGTACTTGCATCAGATATGGTTGGAGAAGGGGCCTGCAGGACTCTAGGTTGTAAAGACAGTTGTGATATCCTTTGCGTTTGGGAGTCGTCAAGGTTCTCCTCTACACGGTCAGCCAAGGAGTCTCTTCCAACACTCTCTGAAGAGCCAGTCCTGGCAGAGTCAGGGGTTTGACTTCCAAGCTTTGCCTCTCTGAATCTACGGCTTGAGTCAGAGCTCAGGAGGTTCTCAATACTATCTGGAGAGCCAGCTTCACTTGTAAAACTTCCACTGTCTTCTGAAGGAGACTTTTTGGTGGCATCCACTTTCAAGAGTTCCCCCGGAGAACCAGACGTGGCTGAAAGCAGCAGTGCAACTCTCTTTGATAGAGAGTCTTGGCTTTGAATGGTGTCTAGACTCGTGTGTGAAGCAACCACACCTACTTTCTCTGTGATTGATTTTTCAACAAATTGAGCAATCTGATCGTATTTCATGGCCCTCTCTTCACTCCTATCCGTGAAATTCCGATTGAAATCCATCTCTCTTTGCTGAACATCGTAGTGCCCTGAGGAATCAGAGTGTGTATCATCACTTATCTGCTGTGATTCTCCAGGTGTTTCACTCTGTAAGTCTCGGGGATACTGAATGTAAGACCTGGCTATCTTTGTACTGGAGCTTTCTGATGCTGAACTACTAGCCCCTGATCGATCAGGAGACTCTGTGCTTCCCCTCTGCTTTGCTGCTTTTACTCTTGGTTGCTTTGGCAGGTCTTCTTTGGTTTTGTTTCCTGTCTTAGAAGACACTCTGTTTGTTGGGCTTGTCTGCTTCACCTTTTTCTTGGTATATCTCTCAGTCGTAGAGGAAGCGCTACTTCCTGACGAACTGCTGGATCTTTCTTTCTTGACTGGACTCTTCTTGCTCTGCATGGTTAGCATTTCAGGTTCCTCCACAGTTGCCAAAAGGCTAGGAGCTGATCCAGGCTTGTTCAGTACAGCCGGTGTCAGGTTGACCGGCTCCAGGTTGTTCAGATCAATGGGTAGCTGAACATGGGAACCCCGGAGAGGTGCAGTATTTTTTACCTCACGAGACAGGCTGATAGAATCCTCACTCAAGAAGCCTGTGGTGCTGCCCGAGCTTTCTCCTTTGTTACTAGAAGTACCTGCCGCTGAGACCGTCCTGTCAATTTCAGTCGCAGACATTGAGGTTCTGCTTTCACCAGCTACCGGCTTTTCTGTCTTGGCACCCTTTTTTGGTCCATCAATAGGCTTAACATTTGAAAGCAACACAGCTGTAATGGCTTCATCCTGGTGGGGATTGTACGGAGTCGAAGTGAACTTTGGTTTCTTGCCTGTTAATGCAATGGAGTCACTTATTATGCTTGTTGCTTTGTAATGAGACAGTGAATCCTCTGTTATCAGCTCGTCAGGCTCCTGCAGTGGTTGGGATGTTGTAACACCACTTACTAACTTTGTTGACTGCTTTCCAGCTGTGCCATCCTTTGTCAGGCTGCTGTCAGACCGTAGAATTGATTTCTTATCATCTCTCTTGGACAACCTTGATCTCTGATCTGAGGAAATCTCTGGTAACGACAAACTGTCTCCTAGGAGATGATCGGATAACTGAAGAATGCTCTGTATGGAGTGTGATGTGAGTTCTGGAATGTCTTGGGTTTGTTTTATGAGGTACCTAGATGAATCAGCTTCCTTGGTCTCCACGGACTTAGTGGACAGAGATGCTCGAGAAGTTCCAGCAGATTCCTGAGGCAAAAAGATCAACATACATGTATAAGTTAATGTAATGTGAAGTTTCTACCTAAGGTTTCAGCTTCTGTTTTTCATGTGGTGCAATAAGTCTTTACACAACCTCATCACTTTGCTATTCTGCCTTCTTCAGTAACCTCTTTATGCTGAGACTTTTCACGACCCCGCATCAGAATTTCCAGATATGATTGTTAATCACCTTATCAGGTGACACCTCCAGTGTGTGTTGAGACAGTGACACTGACAGATTCCCGCTTACAAACTCCGCTGAAACCTCAGCAATGGCCTGTCTGACAGGATCCCTGTGTTCTACCTCATCCTCTCCACTGCTAGCCTCCACAGGTCTGGGCGTGCCTCCTCCCTCATCGGATTGAGGGAGGGGGATGTCCGTTTCACTGCTGCTGTAGCGGAGCTCAGACCCTTCTTCCTCAGTAGAGTATGGGTACTCCTCCCTGGTGATGCCTCCAGTCACGTTGATGGCAGAGCTGAACTGAGCGTCACCGAAATGGCCCGAGTCTCGACTGTCCGTGAAATCCACAGTGGGAAGGTGGAACGTTTCTTCTGGAGGCTTGAAGGAGGCAGCTTGAGCTTGATTAGCGGCAGCGATGGCAGCGATAGGATCAGTATCTGTAATAAAAGAGAAACAAACCAGTTATCTTGTTTAAAAGTAATGCTTGAAATAATGACCCAAAGCAGTAAAAAGAACAGAACGGTATGGAGACAAATTGTTAACTTGTGTTTCATTACACTTTGCTGTACGTAACGTATGTGCATCTGGATCAAACCTTACATTTGAATGAGCAGATTCTACATGTATGTTCCATAGTTTATGTAATGCCTAGCTGAGGAGCAAGGATGTGCTGAACATGGATAGTTTCAAGATCAAACCACGCAAATAGGACATAAAAGTTTCACCCAAGGCTTTTGAAACCCTTCCGGTTCAACAATAAAAACTGGGGAAAGAGAAAAGAAACACTAACCGCGCTTGCCTGGCCTTGCTCTCTTGCTTGGTGAGCTGGCATTGGTGTTGGACAGGATGGAGCTCTGTGAGGATGATCGGCTGCTAGTTGCTAGAGATGACCGACTACCTAGAGGCCGCTTGGCAGGTGTGGGAGAGGAGACCAGCTCAACCTGCTCAGGTACCAGCGAGTACCAGCTATCCTGCTTGAAACAATACATGCACAGTTTTTACCAGTTAATAAAAAGCTATAATTAAGTAAACCACATACTGTATTAGTACAAAGATGCCGGTATATTGTCAGCGTACACTTTAAATTTCAAAGAAATTTCAATAAACTGTTAGACACAAAATTTATTTGACATTTACTCGTATAATGCAAAACACACAAAGACTGTAATTTCACATTATACACCCAGAATCAAGTGTTTAATGGTTTATTACAATTTGGGTCACTTTTTTATATAATCACTAGTGCTTGTTTTCCACACAAGGCACTAGCATATTCATAGGTACATGTACGCACACGAACATAAGCAAATATTGTATTAAATACATGTACTGTGCAGTGTACATACATGTACATGTACATGTAGTACTACACTATTCTTTATGGCTGCCATATGCAAAACACTCATGAATGACATGTACATGTAAAACCTTGAGCAGATGTTGCCATGAATAAATCTTGAATTCCCAATCAATGAACAGCACTTACATGTACATGACAATGTAGTCTGTATACACGTAACTGGCCCCCAAAAAAGACCACGGTTCCCCAATCAATATAAATCAAGTGCTGATAGTGTTAGATTGAATACACGATGGTACATGTACATGTAACAACATACATGTATGCATGCCAGGCTGACTGACAAGTGTGGAATCAGGCTGCACGGCACAATACGCTTAATTCAGATTAATCAAAATGGGAAATGGTGTATCAATCAACAGCATGCATATTTTGGTGTAAGAATGTCAGAGTGAATAGCCTTAGAGAGTACAGTACATGTACACGGTACATTAGTTTTTCAAACTGCAATCTACCAAGGAAAAAACACAAATGTTGATACATGTAAATGATAATTACAACCATCTCATGCTGTATCTCAGACCTGCATGTCGCTCTCTCGTCTCAAGATTGCACATCTACATGTACACATGTATGTACATGTACGGTATACTAACAAGACACTGAAACTTAAGCCACTGACTATTCTCATTTGAGTAGAAAAAGAAAGAAAAAGATATACATGTACCTCTTTCTTGTGAGCAGAGGCAGAGCGGGAACTAGACCTGCTGCTGGATCTTGATGATCCACCACTGTGGGACATGATTAACACAGGTGTCAAGGATGAGTGAACATGAACAAGATGGTGTCTGGCTAACGGCTTGCCCAATCAGCTCTCCTCCTGCTCAAACACATGAAGTAAACGCATCACCTCACATGGAACTCCTTGATCCATCACATATTGTAGTCACTTGAGATGTGACCAGGCATCGTTCAGTAGCAGAAATCTGCAAAGAAACAGTTCAAATTGTGGGTTGAAAGCAGCAATTAGTCCAGGAGCTGTGAAGTGGGATGCCGTTCCACTTAATCTATTCCCCCACACACATGACACACATGCATCTGTCAGCCTGGTGTTTTTAACGCATAGTCGTGGCGCTGTGCCAATCCCCTCAATGGGAAACGATTCATAAAATTACACACGACAAGTGGGAAAATCCAGACTTGACTATAGGGTTGGTGAAGTGACTGCAGTGGATCGCACAACACTCAATCTGACCCACTACATGTACACTGTACGTACGCTGTGCATGTACATGAGATGTAATGTACACATACATGTACATTACATTTCATGAGTATCAATGCATGTACCGGTACCCAGTACATGTATGTACGCATGTACTCTACATGTACACGGACAATATTCCATGCCTGAGCCAAACACACAAGCATACACATGCATATATCATCTTCTATACATGTACCATCCTGGTACAGTAAGTGTGACATTTCTGAGTCCCTGCTACATGTACATCCAACCTGTTTAATTTGAAATATCTGTGTGATTTATGCAGTACTCGGTCATTCTAGAAAATTTTAAAAAATGAATTCTAAACTTACAAAGTCTCAGATGTAAAAGGGACAGTAGACACACACACACACAAAATTTGACGCCAAATTGAAAGAATGACCCATTTATTTATTTATTATATATGAAGGGTTCAACACAAGAAATACATGTACATGTAGAAGAAGCAAGCAAATACAACTTTACAAGTTCTTGAAGTACATACATTGTACATGTACATACATGTATGTATTAAAACTTTGAATATTTGGACCTGAAATGTGAGGTTAGGACTTACATGTAACTCCACATGTTAAAAAACTTCAATTATGCGTATGATTTTGCATGAGCTTTAAGATTAATTTTTTTTTATGTGAACATTTACATGCAATTTAAAACATATGTATCTGTCAAATGCTTGTGGAATTGATTTTACTGTGTTACCTGTACATGTATGACTGTACATTTGAGGCAACCGTTGGTGCATACATTGTAAAACTGGCGCCAACTCGATATGGCAATGATATTTTTTTATGCGCCATGCCTGCAGACAATAAGAAAACCCTCGAGCATCAACCTTTGCAGAGACAGCATAGTACCAAGCAACATTAACATAAACTTTACAGACATTGCCTGAAGAATCTTAGTATCTGGATTATCTCCTGTGCCAAGCTCAGATCAGATCTTTCCAGTGCTTTGCCATTCAATTAAATTTTACGACTGTGGTTGGAATGGTACAAAACCAGGCCACAAAAGAGAATGCTATGTGAATTAATGATGCCCAAGGACTGCATGCATATGTACAGACAGTACAGTGACATAATGAGGTAAATACTGTATGCAATCTGCAAATTCAGAATTTTAAATAACCAAGTACCTTTTGCACATGTAGTAAATTTTATGGCAGGGTGCTCAGCAGAGAATTGATCCCTTGAGCGAAAACTGGTTATCACTATCAGCCAAAATGCCATTATGACTGGTTTACAGCAGATTCATACTTAACAGCTCAACACATGTAATTTGCCTGACAATATTTTTGCAGAACAGTGCCACAGCAGTACAAATGCAAACTCAATCATTCTGAGCTTTCAAAAATACAAACATACATGTACATGTATTATCAAGTTTACTTGTTATAACACAGTACATATTCAAAAGTGTACACTACATGCACTGTACCAATATGAGCAAGGAGCTCCACTGTAATTATAACATGCAACCTACCAACGCTGACTTGTCATGAACCTTTCCTCCACAAAATTCAATCAGTCCACTTTTGAGGAAAGCCTCACGTTTCAACGGGCAAGTACATGTAATCATTTGATCATCTGATAATTTCTACTCCATAGCCACACTGAATCATTCACAAGCCATGCATGATATCATGATGCCCCACGTCATCCGGGGATATAAAAAAAATGACACAAACCATCCATTGCATTTGCCAGGATAAGTATACGTGTACAGACATGTACTACAATGTACATGTACATGTATACTTGTCTAACATGTGCTGTGAATAAAAGTGTTCTCCTTGTGTTAAAAAAATCATTGATAATATACATGTACATGTACGTGTACCGTAAGTAATCATTAGGCTCATTCATGTACCTGTGCATCTGCTAAATTTCAGAAAATTGAGACACTAATCAGCGACAATAGCATTATGCTGCACAAGTGAGGCATGCTATCAGATAAATATGACAACTAATAAGACATAAATTTGCTCCCTACGGGTTCAATGTGCCAACCAGGAATGTACAGCTCACATAAAGACGTCAAATTTCTCTGTGTCATCAGGTTCTTCTCCTCGTCACCAAAATCCTGCCTCAGGGCAATCTCCTGAACGCCCCCCCCCCACATGGGCTGGGTACAATCACCATGAATCACGCATAATGGCAATCCATCTGCATGCATGGATGAATGAGACAGAGAGGCTGCTTAGAAATTAACGCCGGCTGGGCAAGTGCAAGTGGTGGGGGGGGGAGATGCAGCGCTGCGTGCATGCATCACATGAAGACCGACATGATGAATAGCAATGGAGTAGGTAGGATAATGAATACGTCACACGTGTAGGAATTTGGCTTTATGCTGATGACTTTGAAGCACGACAAGAATACACACAGTTACATGTTTAATGTCATGCATGACGTACATGTACCGATAACTCGACTTTGGGTTTGTTTTTCATTCAAATCTTATGCCACATCATCACACAAGAATGCCAACAATAAAACAAGGCCAACTGTCTCATTAAATCCAAAAGTCTGACATGTGTATTAAAACAGATGCTTCCGTGACATGCTGTTTGGAATTTTACAAAAATACATACAAGACTTGACATCCTGAGCACAAACCGGATGAGACTAGTCAGAAAAATTCTTAGTATTTCCAAGTAAACACTTCCATCTGTTTCCTGTTAATTTGACATTTAAGCACATGTTCTTGTATCACTTTCTGATGGCTTTTGTACAGTGTACATGTACATTCTCAACTGCATTACGTATAGTATTGGCATATGTACCGGTACATAGGCCAAAAGTCTGCCACTCAAACTTGAGGGAAAACACATAATCTTCCTCCATCACTGTACATCATGAAGTGCATAGTGCACTGTACAGGTATGTTGCAGGTACACACACCCAATAAAGAAACTCAACCCCTAAAATGATGAGCACTGCCAGACAAAACAAGTCAAAAGAGAAGTTTCCAAAAAAGACTGAGATACATGTAATAAGGAAATTGGAAGGGATCTAACGCCAACAGAACAAGATACTGTACAGGGAACCCATTTTCATGTACATGACCTCAGAAGTGCAGGTCAAACTTATAGTATCACCAATGACAAACACCGTGATGTTTACAGCAAGGAGGCATATTATGATGATAATAATCACGTTTACACGTACATGTACCGGTACATGTATACCCTTGATGCAACCATGATGAAGCCAACAAAGTAAAGTAATTCCCTGCAAAAATGCACTTCTTCAACATAAAAGTGTTCTTTAAATAAAGAAAATGAGGAGGATATAATCCACTGCACTACAGAGTCCCAATCAGTGTCCCTCCCTTCAAGAGTCAACAAAATGGGTTTCAGTGGCGTGAATTACTCTTTCATATAGAGTAATTTGTGCAGTAATAAATGAAACATAGCACACAGAAACCCTACATGTACATGTGCATGTATTGATATACAATACACGTACATGTATGTGAACACAGGGTCAAAAGGATTATTTTATAATTCATAAAGTTTCATAAGGAGCAGGGCGAGGCAATTCGAATACTTCACTATTCGAATATTCGATGTTCAACTCAATCGAATATACAAATATTCAGTCATACCGACCAGCAGATTGTTGACGAACAAACCATACATGTGTATATACAACATCAGTTGCAATAACGTACACACTTGTACATTATAATCACTATGATGGCTTCTCACTTCTAAAACTATCACCAGCCATGATTTAGCAAGATTTAACAAACATTTCTTGCCCTGTTAAAAATTTCTTTTCCTTTTAAATTTTTAATGAATAATTTACTTTTTGAATTGTATTCTTTCCGCTTTTCATTTAAATCTGCTTGAAACAAGCTTCCACAATGTGATTTTCTCGTTTAAAACAAAAGAAAATTCTCCCTTCCTTTTCATGAATTTCGAATTCGAATATTCAAATTCAGAAAATAATATTCAAAAATTTGATAATCGATCAAATATTCGGATATTTGGACAGCCCTAATAAAGTGGACCTCAAGTGTTTTGGACTCAAGGCAATTCTACGTAACCATAATATTATGAATAATGTATGTACAGTACATGTATACATTGTATTTTGAGCCTGAAGTAAATGTATGGAACATGTACATGTACACACAAACGGCCGTTCACTTTATCTAATTTCTCTGAGAAGGATCCATTTGATGGTTTTAAGGATAATGAATCATCCCTGGAAACAATTATAATAAAATAATTTTTATAAATAATGCAGCACTCAATAGGGAGAACAGAAAGCCCTGCATGTTCACTACAATACACTACTTGAGTCATAAACATTCTAGAGGGTAAAACAGCCTGTCTCTACAAGTTTGGGCTTGCTTTCTTGCTGTGTACATACAGTACAGTCAGACCTCGTTAATAAGAGCACAGTTAATACAAGATTCTGTTTATAACAAGGAAATTTTTAGGTACCCATTCTTTCGTTTATTATTATTTTCATTCCTGATAATACATGTACAAGGTTTCTGTTATAACAACGTAATTCCGAACAAATCCAAACAACCTCTTATTAACGAGATTTAATTGTACATGATAAAATGCATGTTTACGTTCACTGTACACGTACATGTACAGTACATATACATGTGTGTGTACAGGGTACATGTAGTTGTACATGTCAAATACAGCATATGGGTACCACACCTTTTTGACATTCTCGTATTACATGTACATCATGGGATTGGATGGCAAATAGGCCATGGATTGTATACATGAATCTATGGGGGAAGTGAACCAGTCAAAAATAAATTTATGATTTTCTTCAGAATATTTCTTGATTACCTGTGCTTGTCCATCAAGTCACAGATTCATGCATGGTATTCAAGAAACATTTAAAAAGTAAATAAACTTTCAAAAACCACCCCGAAGTGTCTTTTTTTCTAAGTCACTACAGGCTGAAAAATACATGGGATGAGCTTCAAATCCTGATTCCGATTGGCCAGTATGCAGCCTGTTATTAATGTTAATATGGTAATATTCAGTCATAGTCCAACACAAAAACTACACGTAGTGTTCTTGTTTGTCATCCAAATCCATAATGTACTGCATTGTGATAAGGCATGAAGGGAGGAGTAAGGCAAGTATGATGTACATGAATGATGTACATGTAGGCTTTCCGTACCTATCAAAATTCAAATTATCGATCAGAATAAAGATTCCAAAAACATTAAAGTGGGCAGTTTTGTTGATTTACTTGCTGACTGGTCTCATTCATTTTGCACTCAGCAGACAGGGCTAGGACTAGGAATCTGGGAAAGCATTCCCTAGGGCCTACAATTTGGCCCAACGTGACTGTCGTGATCATGCTTGTCATGCGCCAGTGCACAAAGATTTTGTTTTGCTGTAACCATGGAGGAATAACATGAATAAGAACACATCTGTACATACCGGTTAAACTCTTAGCCCCCCCCCCCCAGCTCCTCCCCGCCTACAGTATCAACCGTGCGTCATGTGCGCAGCGGCAGCAGCGGCCGTCAGCAAGTCAGCTGCATCTACATGTACATGTACATAGTGCATAATGTGCAGTATGAATCTACACAATGCAGGGCGGCACTAATTTTATTGCTTTTCGAGGTATTCTTAACTACAAAAGTCACCCCTTCTCTCATCTTTCCTCAACTATTACATGCTCTGTGAGATTATGTACTTACCCAATGTTATTTCTGGAAAAATAAAGGTAATATGTCACGATTTATTCATAAAATTCCGAGCATCCGACGCCTCGCATTAATTTGAATCGCCGCCATCTTGTTATTATGATAACACGTGACGAAATCATGTTTATTCATGTATTCTCTTATGATGAGTTTCCACAGAACTTCCAAGAAGCTATACCAAACAACTTGCAAATGGATTTAATTCAAAATTCTAAAAAAGGAACATTTACAAAGAATCGAAAACAATGCAGAGTCTACCGGAACTCCTAATCAACTCAATAATGATTTGAATAAGTTCAGAGTTTTTCCCGAAGGCAGTGAACTAAATGATGAAACCAAATTCAAACGAGGTCACAAAGCTAGGTTCTGGAAGTAAGTCTATTGGTAAATTTCCAAAAGTGGTAAATTAACGCAGTCTGAATAAAAAATCAGAGTGACCGAAAGGTATAAGTAGCTCCAGTCGCATAAATTATAATGTAAATCAAAGTACAAATACGTTTAAATCGGTGAAACAAACTCCAAATAAGAGTCTCAAATTAATAAAAGCCAAATCGGTATATCCTTCAAAACTGATATTCAGTGCCATTCTCCAACAAGCGTCTCCCAAACATTTTGCGCTGTTTCACCGCAGAAAAGCAACATTACCAGTTAGTATAACCTTGGTTTAACAATCAAATACCGCATCATTTTGAACTGGTCCAGTATCAACAATCATTCATTGAGAAAATTACTGATGTTACGGTGATTCAGGTAGAAAGCACCCGAGTTTCAGGCTGACACTGCGTGAAGACTGGGTCGAAAATAAGAGTCGCCGCAAGATATTGTATGAGGACTTCTTTGCCTCAACTTGAACTTGTACGTATGGTGGCTGAGTTTTCCAAGCCTCGACAATCCAACAGCACCTGAGAAATCACAATGAATCTCTAGGATGGGCCTATTTCTCTACCACACGTAAAAATGATGATTCTGTCACACCACACTCAACACTCAGTACCAGTCGAGTATTTGTGCCCCCCCCCAAAAAAAAGAAACCAAAAAACAAAAACGCGCTTTACGCCGATTCTATAATTTCAAACCAAGGTGCGAAGATGAGAAATTACCATGCCCTCTTCTTATACTGAGTGAACCACAATGGAAAACCAGAATGGACCCAAAGGTCCGTAAGCTTGTAGCGAAACTGCAGTGACTTCACTATTGAAACTTAACAATTTCAAAATGATAAACAGTTATCAAGACGCGTCGACTGAAGACAAAAAAAACAAGAAACCATGTAAAGAATAAGGCAAAAAATGGAGACACTTTGACAAAAGTGAAAACAAAAAGCAAACAAGTAACATCCAACAAAAAAGAACCAGCAAGACACACTGCACAGTGCTTTCAAGCGATACGCTGAACTTTATTTTGAAATGTGACAAATCTGCAGTTTCTTTGGCATTCTACAAACGTACTACACTCAATAAAAGGGGCACAGAACCAGTTCTTAAATCGATGTGTGATACTCTGTGTTGGTGAATTGTTTTACACAAGTACTCAAATGTCCACTGATCAGCTCTTCATACAGTTTGTAATTAACTTCAAAGAAAGTAGTTTAGGTTCGAATTCAGTTGAGTCATCTCCTTTAACTCCATCAAAAGTTCACAGTACTTTTTACTCGTCCAACACCATTTCTCATTTCCAGTAAAAAAGGTTGGTTACTTCATTGATTTCATGTGGGCTTTCATTTTAGCTGGCAGGTGAGCTCTGATGGCACGTACCTACACGTGCTCAACTTTATCATGACTAAATGACTCTATCTGATCAACATTCTTTAAACCAGAACTTGCCTTTACTGCATTCTAGTATAAGAAGGCACAGAGAGTGAATTTAACTAGCAATAACTTTATTTATAACAGGCTCCCCAAACGAATAAAAGAGTACACTTTCTTTGGCATGGAATGGGGTTTAACTCCATTTTCTAGGCGCGCAGGTCACAAGCTAGTACTGCTTAGGAGTACTTTTGGGAAAGCAAGTTTGAACACAAACTGGTTCACTAATTAAATAGCAATAACAACCTTAAAGTTAACAGAACTCTATATTCTTTGAAAATGTGCCTTTAAAAACAAGCTATTTAAAATCGATAGACAAGACTGCATGTACTGTAATGTAGAATCTTCAGGAAAAAAATGGCATTGTGGTAAAGATTTGTGCTCAGAACTTTCAGAAAATTAGGATTAACTGCAAAGAGCTATTTTGCAAAATTTAAATTAACTCTTCAAGTGTCTGATTGTGCAGCAGTCCCTTAAAATCTGAAAACAGATAAAATGCTAACTAGAATATGACAAATTTACTTTATGAAACAAGCTTGAAAACAGATTTAGCCAAAATGAATAAACAAACTTAAGAATACAATGCAAATTACAACCACCTGCTTTCCTTGTCTCAACTCAGTCTTTTCCAAAGAGTACTTTAAAAATGCAATTTTGGTATGTACACTAAAAAACATTCTACGTTTTTTGCGTTCCATAATGAAACTATTCACCCTTCGCAAAGCTTGAAAATTTCTCTCTATATACAAAAAATCTTATTTTTCCCGGTACATGTACTGTTCTTTTAAAGGAGCGCTGTAAATATTCCTTTCTATGCCAGCCACTTATTATACGCTGTTATCAAATTTTACATTATTCCTATTTTGATAGTTAAACCTCGAAGCGAGCAACTTTTTGTTGTGCCATTCCCTCTTAAAAAACTTCACTACCGATTGCTTTGCACTAAATGTGACAAAAAGCTCGTGTGAAACTAAAACTCTCAAGTTGAAAAGGCAACAAGCATACTTAACTGGTTAAAAAATCTTTGATTTCAACTGGTGATTAAACTTTTATGGAGCCTCCAAATTATTCTCTAATTTACTTTACAAGGTAGGCTGGTGTAATAAGTTTATTTCTTGCCTTCTTTTGTTTTTGGAAACAAAACGTTTTTACAATGCATAAATATAAATGCTTCGGCTATGGTTTTGGTACCTAGGAATAAATGTCCTACAAAAAGAAAGCTGCACTTATTAACACCAGAGAAACCATCAATTTTACTACTTGATGCATTTCAAGAAAAATTCTACTTATTTCATAATTCTAGGAACTGATGTTGGCATGTCAAAACTTTCTGATCATTAAGTTCTTTCTCATAGTTCAGCCGCAGAAACTGCAAGGATGTTTTGTCAAATGATTAACAATGAGATTTTGGAACCCTTCACTCCTATTTTAACAAATCCAGCACACTTTGTGAGTTATGCGTCTGCTTAAACAATAACCCTAAAACATTTCAGCTTACACTTTGAACTAGCTTCCATAAGTTTACAGTCATTTTCTTCATATGCATTTAGTCAGTGCAACCATATTTGCATAATATTTGCATAATGAATTTTGTTACCTTCTTCCTTAATTACTTATGCATTTTTCATATCATAGCTAACTTTTTTCTTTTGCTGTCTCAGTTGTGAAATTTATTACTGAAAAATTTGCTTTTCTTCTTGATGCTGTCTGATACGCCCTGAACAATTAAATTCACGATTCATTACATTAGTGTGTGTTCACATCCTGGTATCTGTGTTGCGTCACCTTGGTGATTTTTAGAAGGTGTCCTTCTCCTTGAAGATGCTGAGCTCCTGTACAGGGTTGATGTGTTGCTTTTTCTGGCCCTTGCGAACTTTGACCTGGGTTTCCTCCGGGATCTCGCGACGCACCAGGGGCTTCTTCTCTGGTGGCTTCATCTTCCAAGAGACAACCGGAGACTGGGTTGGGGGAAAAATAAATCCGATATGCAAGTGAATAATTGCAATCGGGATGAGGTCTGAGAGTCTGCCTCTAGAGATGCACATAAAGAGTGCACACAGATGTGATCCAGATGTAGAAACACATTGCAAAGTACACCTGTTGAAAACATGATTACTTTTCAACCACTTAGATGTACAATGAAATTTTTAATGACATTCCTTTAAAAAAGATATTTAGAACCTGGCATTTGAATATCCAACGTCTTAATCTTCAATGCCATAATGTTAATGCCTTTTAAAAAACTGCTAAATCAAAATAGTTCGGCAAAGTGTTAAAGAAAAAGAAATCTGAGTCACTTTAGTTTTAAAGTAAAATAATATGGTTGATGCATTTTAAGTCTACTTAGTAAGGTTCCAAAGAAAAGAGTTTGCGAAATTTGGGTTTATCAAAATTTCAAAGAAATATTTTTTACTGAAGCAAACATGAGCCAAGTCTTCAGAATGAAAACTGTGACCAAACCTTAGTTAAATAAGGAATCCAATAAAACATAATCTGATCCCCAGTACATCTGAGGAATAAAGGAGTTTTCTGAATACAGGTACAAAGCCAGAAACCTTGTACATCTTGTGCTAACTGCCCGGCAATCATGTGTCAGGAAAACAAAAAGATTATTGGGTTGAATTGGATGCTCGATGCAATGCATCACCCGACCACTGATAAATATCTACTTCTCCTGGGCCGACTGGTCTATGCAAACCACACAGACACCTCTGATACCAATTCATCTCTACTGGTTTGAAAGAAATCACTCTGTTCTACCGTAGAAGTAAATGCATTACCCAGGCTAGATTTAAGATTAGCATCCTAGGGAAAAAGCCAAAATGAAGAAAGGCCGGTCGAGTCTGGGTGGCAGATACAATGACTGAAGGAACTCTACCGATGATGCAGGCAGTGTAGAATGTTGGACTGTGAAAACTAAACCTTTCACTGACTGTAACTACATAAAATGAATTGGTCACAACAAAAATAGGTCCTCTTTTGGCAAGGTGCTGATTGAAAATCTGCAGTCCCTTTAAGATGTATGATTAATCTTAACTGTTAGTACATGTACATGCAATTTACTAATGGCTAACATTCTTTTTCATAAATTAACAAATGAAAATACCAAAACCAAACAGCTGTTGCTTTCAACTAAAGATCAAGTTTGGTAACATAATGATTCAAATCATATGCTAGACCTTTGAATTGTAACAAACGGTGCACAAGGCCTGACACTATAGAGCTGCTAAGACAACAGGCGGCTGAGAGCCAGTCAACAGGAATATGCACTGCATAAAAGTTTTGGCTGGTAACCTGGCTCTTGCCCATTGTACATTTCTGAGCTTAGCAACTCTATGACCAGACCCCCATCATTTCATTCAAAATGACGCCAACCTACCACTCCTCCAGTTAATTCTTCAAGTGCTTTCTGGTGAGAGTTACAAAGCCACACAGGAAACAAAGATCAATCTCTACTCATCCTATTTCTTTTTCTTTCAAAATTCAGCTGTAGAAGCCAAATTTATATTCATTATTCCAAATAATTGTTTATCACTAAAGTAATGGAAAAGCCCTGTAACACTCTTCTTCTCCAAATGAAAAGTAATCTGACAACATCTCCAACATCCAGAAGAATCTTCCTAACCATATGCACAATAAATGCTCACCACATGAATATTCAATGGTTACTGGTGATGGATATATGAATATTCATGAAGTGACTTACATTGACAGCGTCAGTATTCTTCATCAGTCGTGAGTATTTGGTGGAGGCTACATAAGACGCCTTGACTGTCAGTACCACAGATCCCATGAGATTCTTTGCTGCTTGGATCAGGGATGTAGCGCTGTCCAACTGAAATGGTAGGACAAAACGTACCAATTAATAATAATATGGACAAAAGATATCGATTCCTGTCAGATATGAACCCCGGACTTGCCAAATACTGTACTTGTGCACTACCGATGAATTGCCAAAAACTGGGTTGGCAAGCTCCCAAAATAGGAATAGGATTTTTCTTGCGGTAATACACACTCTACCTTAACATTTCCAGATCCATATACCAGATCCAACAATATTTTGAAGTATAAATCTGAATCACTCAGAATAGCACAGGTGTTGAAAAATCAAAGTGTCAGTGTAGTTGAGGGTAGAAGCAAGTAGCATATGTAATTCCCTTTATATCAAGTGGACGGAAAGCTCACAGAATAAACTGAACAGGGAAACCACGCAACCAGGTACAGACTCAAAATCTGATCCACTTCAGAGGGTTCAAGCAAGACTCAGTGAACTAGTTGAGGCATGGATGTAATTTGTAGTGCTATGTGGTCGAATAAATGAGACTGGAATCTGCCCTGATCAAGACTGGCTGTTAGCCTCCCATTGATGGTGACAATGGGTTATGACATATTGATAAGGATAACATACCCCAGAGAGCACCAATTCGCCACTGATGTTCTGCACCTCAGCCTTGACCTTACTGGTGATGTTCAGCTGATGACAATAGAGGGCGATGCGCTGCAGGTAGGCAAGCAGGTCACTCTTGGAGGACGAGTCAGGGCACTGTGACCACAAAGAAAGTCAAACTCTTTCACACAAACATCTTCCACAAGTTCTTAAACTTAAACAACAGGTTTTCCTGGGGATGTTGGACGAATACTTGGGTGTACACAGGGCCGCCCCGGGAAAGACGTAAGTCTCACCATATCAGCAATAGTTCTGGCCAACTTGTCCAGCTTGGAACCAGCTTCAGCAATCTTCTTGGCTGCGTTGATGACATGCATAGTAGTCTTGAGTGGTCCACGTCCACTGTGGCAGGAAAAAAATGCACAAGTTAACATCAACACAGGCATCAGTCTACAAAATCAAAGTTCATATGGGAAAATTTCTGATATCATATGTGGATTCTCCGAAACGGTTAAGGGCATTATGACACTTTAGGGGTACACGGTAGAAATGAATCCTTCCGTTCTCAGTGTCTGGAAATCTTGATTTCAAAACAAGGCTTCAAGTTCTTGCCAAGTTGGCCAATGTTGGGCCAGACATCAGGAAGAACTATTACCGAGTGAAGTCAGTCATCTCCATCATGATCATGCACATCTGCTTGGCTAGGATGATGATGTCGTTGCCCGTGTCGTCCCACTTGGCCATCTCCATGTCCAGCTTCTCCTTCTCTATGCGGAACAGCTCCACCTGCTCAATGATCTTCTGCTTCTCCACCTCCGGGAGCTCGCGCATCATGGCCTGAGGAAAGGAAGAGGCATAAGGAAAGTGAGTGGGGTGCAGGGAACGCCCAAAAGGGGGGATAAGGAAGCTAAGTGGGGTGCGGGGAACACCCAAAGGGGGGGATAAGGAAGCTAAGTGGGGTGCGGGGAACACCCAAAGGGGGGATAATGAAGGTGAGTGGGGTGCGGGGAACACCCAAAGGGGGATAATGAAGGTGAGTGGGGTGCGGGGAACACCCAAAATAGGGGGTAAAGAGGGAGAATGGGGTGCAGGGAGCACCCAAAAGGGGGGGATAAGGAAGGTGAATAGGGTGCAGGAAATACCCAAGGGGGGGGTTAAGGAAGGTGAGTGGGAAGGGAGTGGCTCACCCGTCACCGGTTTGTTACGATGATTACCAAATCTAATCAAATGAAACAGTGCCTTACCATGCACAACATGTTAACTAATATGTCTCTGCAAATACAAATGCTGCATTTTGTGGGATGTGAGCTAGACCAAATTTGAAGCAAGAGTTTGGCTTGGCTTCCAAAAAATTCACCAATTTCTTGCTGTTCTGAAATGCTGTGTAATTAAAAATAAATTCATGAAGGAGTTTTATTCTCCTCCAAACTTTTTGCACGCAAAAAGATTACGAGAAATATCATTGTACAGTGGATTGCATCAACACTTCACATCTGGGAGTATGAACGATCTAGTAATCAACCTTGAACCCATGAATGCAAGCCCAGCCCATCCCCATGGCTCACCCTAGATGTGACCCCCTCAGCTACATCGATGTCTTCTTCCGTCATCTCAGTCTTGTAGCTCGCTGTGACAAGAAACAGAGACAGGAAATTAGAAAGTTGTACTGCAGTCAAAATGAACTAACAACGTTAATTTTGCTGTAAGAAGACACCCTTTGAATATACTGAAGGTCTGATATCGTTCTACTTATGCTATGGGGTAAAATTCTCAAAGTGCTTGAAAATAAGTTACCCATACTGTCTCCAATACTGCTCAGGTCAAGCCCTTAATCATCTAGAAAATGGTGACCTTTGATCCATTCTCTTGGATAAACTTCAACTGGGCCATCACTCAGTAATTCACCTTTATCTAGAAGGGTTTTGTGATAATAACAATTGATTTGACGGAAGTCGTTATTAAGAACTTCTCACATTTGCTCTTGGCATCATATTCTTCTTCTTCATATTCTGTGTCTGTCTCCAATTCCTCCAGAGACTATGTGAAAAGGAAAAGAAAACAACTTAACCAACACCAAATATTTAACACAAATGTTATTAAAGTGTTTCATGCACTTCCTGAGTGCTTATTTCTTTCTCCTCTACTCATGAATGAGTATGATCTAGTCCAGTTAATTCATTGGCCAGTGTTCCCTCCAACAGTCTGGAACTAATGTGTGATGGTTGACCACATATGAATCCATGTTTTGTTTTCAGGGGACCGCACCAAGATGGCTGCCTTACCCTGTTCATTAGCACTGCTCTTCTCACATCTCTGACGCCGTCATACACCATTCGGGAGGCGTCAATGAACTCGTTCTCATCAACATCTTGAGGATTATTTGAGTTAAGGGCAGACACTGCACCCTCAACTCGAGCCGTAAAGTGAGGCATAACTACGGCAATAAAGAAAATCAGCTGTCATTAAAGAAAAGTGCTACTTTCAGCAAAATATAGCTCTATGCCGAGTCACACTCTGGTTGCACAAGAACATTTACATTTCAATAAAGTCAGGTTGAATCACGCTGAATTTTGGATTATGGAATCAAGCCAGTAATTGGGAGTGAACTAGGAATGATTGAAGAGATCCAAACATTCCAGTAACTCTACTCAAAAACAGCAACCAAGCAATGATTAAATAAAAATTGATCTTAGTTTCTACAAGTACAAACTGTGGAAAACTGTTTGCAAACAAACAAGCAGACTAACTAACACACCTTGATCCTGCAGCACAATAATAACCTCCTTGACCTTATCAGTGTACAGGCCCGGTTCATAGTTCTGCATTTCAGCGTCGACCACGGCACAGATGCGAGCAGCACGCCCTCTGATTGCCCCACCTGTACGATCCAGACTGTCCACGTCAGCCATCTGTAAGGCCATGACGGCTTTGTTGACATCCTCCAGGATGTGACCCTCTGTGAAACGG